ATTTCAAAGCGTTCCGATTCTCTGGAAATCACTATTTCACTTATCGAGAGACTGAAAAAGAAAAAGCAAAGTGACTGTTTATTTGTATTGCATATGAATTAGCAGGGGCGTGATAAAGATTTTAAACATATCAATTGGAAGAGTTCACTTGGATATGTTAAAATGTTACTGTAACGCTTACGGCCGACAGGCACTGTGTAAGAGCCGGCTTAACCAGAGCGGTGACGTCGCCGCCCTTCCCTGTGATAGCAGGACTACAGCTACTGAGCTGTAGAGAGATCTCTCTTTGGCTCACCGGGCTGGGTTCCTGTTGAGTGACGCGGGAGTCCTGGGTTCGAGCCCCCGACGGTGGGTGGCCGACCTAATGCGGCAAGGGCGCCCGCCTGAGCCCCCGTTGCATTACATTACACAAACATTGTACATCCTCAACAGCTAACTGCAGTGCCTTAATACACATATGCACTTGTCTCACTACTACATTATTCATTTTTCCCCAACATATTTATTGTTCCTGTTGTGTACATTGTGTGGTGTTGTCTGTTGTAGTTATGTCCGGAAGATCAGCGCGATTAAGAATTCCAATGTACGCCTAATAAACCCCTCTACTCTCTACTCTCCTCCTCAAACATGCTGTTTCAAAGCAAGATTCCGTAGCACCTAAGTTTGTTTTAAATTCTGTTAATAAAACATCATTTTTTTACAGTAAACCTTTTGTTGGGATGACTTGTTAACTCACTCTGTGCCTCTTCAGCTGAATCTGAATAAGCGCTTTGAGAAGCCACCTTAAAAGGCGCTATATAAAGTTTTTTATTATTAATAATATTTTTATCATCATTTACCCATCTACTGTCCTTGATTTGGTCGGAAGTAACTCTCTGATCCAAGGCTTCTTCTTATTCCGGAGTTATCTGCTTCAACAACATGGCTGACGATCTCGTCCCGACCGCTTTGTGTGACGAAGCGCCTTTTAACTGCGCTTCTGTGGCGTTTCCAGCCCTGCGGAGACCTGAATCACGCTACCGGTCCTCAGTGCCCAAGACTAACATGATTCATGTCCGTTTAGCCTGACACTGTTCATTCCTTTAAGGTCAGGCGCGTATCTCATCGATACTTTCCGGATCCGACCCCAGAGCAGCAGTATGTTTTTGAAACCTGGGGATTAAAAAAACGCCTGGTGGTGGTGAGACGTTTTATATTATTCTAACCCCTTGCATGTGCCTGAAATACACCGGTATCGCGGATGCGCATTTCGGAGGGGGGTACAGATTTCCAGATTTATTGTATGACCTGATATGTTTATTGTCATTACACTCATACACAGGTATATGGTATAACGAAATGCTATTCAGCTAGCTCTCAGACGGTAAGTAGTACAAAAACAAACAACAATACAATTGTATAAGAAAAGAAAGACGGAGCCAACAGGTAATGTGCAAAACAACATCAGTTGTGCAATATCACCCATCAACAGAATGAAATAAAGGATACAAAAATTAAGGGGAGTGAACTTCTTGACATGTGAGGTAGAGGTAGACTTCAATGTGTGTTTTGAGTTTTGATAAAGAGAGAAGGCACTGTGAGAGTTCAGATCGTAGGTGAGAGAGGCTGGGAGTTTCATAGTTTGATAGTGTGGGGGTAAAACTGTCTCTGAGTCCGGTAGTCCGGGCCCGGATGCTCCGGTACTGTTTTCCAGATGGTAGAGGGTCATACAGTCTGTAGCTGGGGTGTGTGGGGTCTTTGATGATGCTTTCCTCAAGCACCGTCTGTCATTAATGTCCTGGATGGATGGGAGAGCAACCCCAGCGATCAACTGGGCAGTTCTCACCACCCACTGTGGGGCTTTGCGGTCAGCAGTACTGCAGTTGCCATACCACACTGTGATGCAGCCTGTCAGTGTGCTTTCTGTAGTGCATCTGTAAAAGTTAGTGAAGATCCGGGGACATATCTTATCTTCTTCAACTGTCTTAGGAAGTACAGGCGCTGTTGGGCTTTCTTGATCAGACAGGTGGCGTTGAGAGACCACGAGAGGTCCTCGGTGATATGGCCGCCAAAGGAATTTGAAGTTATTGACCCTTTCCACTTCACTCCCATTGATGTGGATAGGGGCATGAGCGTTTTGCAGTTTTCGGAAATCAACGATCAGCTCCCTGGTTTTGCTGACGTTGAGGGTGGGGTTATTGTCCTCACACCACATTGTAAGGAGTTTGACCTGCTCCCTGTAGGCCCTCTCATCATTGTCTGTGATCAGACCCACAACTGTGGTGTCATCGGCACACTTGATGATGGAGTTGGTGTTGTGTTTGGCCTTACAGTCGTGGGTGTAGTAAAGCACCATCTGGGCAGAACAGCCTGTCATTATACCGTTCTCATTAAAAATGAAGTTTCCCCCTTGGTACAGAGATGAGCGTCTTCACCGAGCAGCAAAATTGAGGGGGGAACCACACAAAATACTATCAATTAAAAAATAAACCTAAAATTTAAAATCACAATAAAAAAACAGTTTTTTTTTAAAAAAAAGCACCGGAATGATCACACAAGTGAAATGTACATTGTTTAAAAGGGGCTTTCTGTTTTGTGTAAAAAAGCGGCAAGGCAGACGAGCCCCATCTGGACGCTTATTGTTCGATTATAATTAAGAGGGCAATGAAATAAAAAAAGGCTTAAGAAATCTCTACACATCTCGGTCTGAACAAGTAAGACGTGGTGTCGAGTCAGTGTCTTCTCGAGTCCAGGAGTGACCGCCCGGGGGCGCTCTTCCGCAGCGAAGCCACTGAACTGTAATCACGTCACGCACGTCCCAGATCTTTTTTTTTTTGCATGGACTTGGCTGTGACTTTAAAGTGGAGCAGCGAAAGAAAAGACAGAGTTATTTAGAACTGTAATGCAGCTGAACCCTAAAAACAAAGCATGCAGACACGCAAGCACATGTTCTATTATTGTGTCTTCACACAATATAACTTCGCTGTTTACAACTGTTTACAGAGGAGAACGGGTTAGTCAAGTAACGTGTCCGTAAAACATGAGTAATCCTAGAATTTTTTTTACAGACATGGGTGATATGTGAGATCGGAGCTACAGATAAAATAACGCGAGTGACACACAAAGACGGGTTATCGACAGTGTGAAGATGACTCACTGAACTGGTGTCGACCCGACCGCACAGCTCTTGTTTAAAGGCTGATGAGTCTGACTTGTGCGCCCTGCGCAGTATGACTAGGCCCCTGAAAAAGAAAAACAGCAATGCCCCCTTTTTCTCCCACCCGGCCCACTCTGCGGAATGTGAACTTTGCTGCCACACCGCCGGCCCTGGCCTGCTGCCGCACTCGCCGGGCTCCGCGTCAGCCGTGGGCCTGTTGCGCTCTGTGGAAACAATCAGGCGCCATCACTCTCCGCTTCCTGGCCGGCCGTCCCCTCGGCAGCAAGAGCCTCCGGTTGCCATGGCATCCCGTGCTGGAATGTCTTTTGGAAAAGAAGGAGACGAAAAGAAAAACAAAAATCCCGTCCACCCCTCCGCCTGCTGCTGCTGCTGTGCGGCATCTCAGAGCTGCAATGAGCCGGCATTTCGCATCGCGCTCTGCCGTGTTACGGACGGTCCAGGCTCGGGCGGTGACGAGCTGAGCCGACTCCTCGCGTATTTAACTGGCATCACCGCCATCAGCTCCTGTCAGTCTCCCCCGGCAGGTCCGTGAGCTCAGCGGAGACCGAGAGAGACGCTCTGCACTAAATAGTTCTCTCTGCTTGCGGACGCGCCCGTGAGATGTAGCTTTTTGAAACCCTGCTGGCGGAGGTGGGGTATTTCTACACGGGAGGTCGTCGTCGTTATAGCTCAATCCATCCCGTGCACGTTTTTATTTTAAAATGGCAATTTGTAGGTTATGATTTTTTTTTTGACACACGATGTGAAATTTGTAGATAACGAGTTTCACGGTACCTGACTTGAATCTGAAGAATCTTGCTCAGTCCATTATTTCATTCGGATTTTTTTTTTTAACACAAGTACTTTTGCTGTCAGACGGCAGTGCCAGCAGTGAAAAGGAGAATTCCCTCTTGGAGTCCATACGCTTTTATCTTTTGCCTGGTTCAGCTAGATGACAGTCAACTGTTCTCAAACATTAAAGAGAGATGTTTTGCTGTGTGGAGTCTTAGTCTTATCTTACTGCTCTGGCTGTTGTCTTACAGATTCTGTGCCTATACAGACCCTATTCGTGATTCTGTCACAAAGGTCACTGTCTTTAGTCCTGGTTCTGGTCTGGCCTGGGCCACAGGCTTCCAGTTACAGCACCAGAGCCACAGATCCTGCCTGCTGCCACAGTGGGAGTTTTTTGCCACTGAGTGTCTCTATCTGTGGGGTGGCGCAGTGGTTAACATCCCTGCCTTACAGTGAGGGGACCCTGGGTTCAGTTCTGGACTTGGGCACTTGCTATTCAAACCAGAAGGATCGATCTCAGTCCAAACCAAGTCTGCTTTCTGGGAATCTGACCCAGCCCAAGTCTGCTTTAATGAAGCGTTAAGGTGTCTGTTTTTCCTAGATTGAACAGCAGTTATATGAAAAGACAGATGCTTATGAAAGAGTATCATTTGGAGTACAAAAACATGAGGAAGCTTAGAAACCAGAGTTTTTTTAAGTTGTTATTTCAAACAGTTAGATAAGATAGATAAGATCCCTTTATTGGCCATATACAAT